CACCGGTCAGACAGACGCGGACCTCCTTCGTACCGCCGGGCCCTAGGCCAGTGCCCGGGCTCCGCCTGTGTTGACACTTGGCCGGGCGGGCGGCCTCGGCGTGGGGGTCTAGGTGCAAACGGCCGGCAGCCGACCGACCTGCAGCTCTGCAGGGCGCAAGACGCCCCGGACGGGTCTCAGCGCGCCCACGCTGTTGTGTCCTCCTCGTGAGATCGGCGTCCCTCGGACCCACGGGGCCGCCTTGCCGTTGGCCGGTCATTTCGTGGCGAGGGGACCAAGATGTCGCAACGGAGGCCGCCGAGCGCTCGCGTTTCCTGCCCGGGGTTAGAGGTCATGTGTGAGCCAGCTTCGCCCTTTTCGCGGTGAAAGTAGGACAGTACGGAGCCAGGACACATCGCAGCCTTTTAAAGCCCGTGGTTGCCGCTTCCCTTTGGACCGGCTTGGAGATGGGGCAGGAGTCGCTGACGATTTTGTGTTCAGTACCTAGGACGGCAGGTGTCAGCCAGAGAGGTGGCCCCGTCCCCTCCGATCCCCGACATGGCAGGAGGCCGCCCGATCCAGAGGCTGTCCGGGGTGACACTTCCTGGGGCGACACTTGTGTAGGGCTGAGCGCAGCCACCCTCCCTGCAGGCCCCCCCCATGCCCTTACCTAGCGACCTAAGTGCTGTTATCGCGCAAAGATAAGACAAGAGGCAAAACAGCGTATTTCTTGTTCCTGTGACTCATTCACCTTCAGCAGCAGCCACTGCCCAAGTGGCCAGTCGTCCTGAGCGTTTCCTCTGGACGGTGCGTGCACCTCACGCTCCTGCGGCCGCAGACATCGCTCCCAGTGCCCAGGCCCCACCGCCTTTTCCTTTTACCGTCTGAGGTGTTGATTCTCTGGGGCAAGTGCCCTGTCGCCTGGCAGGGACGCCCCGTGGGGGAAGCTTGTGGGCAGAGGCGCAGAGGCAGGTGCTCCTCCGCAGGCCTGCTGGTCTGCACACACGGCTCAGCTGGAGGTTTGCACACCCGGCTCAGCTGGCGGTTTGCACACACGGCTCAGCTGGCGGTTTGCACACCCGGCTCAGCTGGAGGTTTGCACACCTGGCTTAACTGGCAGTTTGCACACCCGGCTCAGCTGGAGGTTTGCACACCCGGCTCAGCTGGAAGTTTGCACACACGGCTGGAGGCGGCGCTCTGGGAGGGGCCTCGTGCTGTAACTCGCTCAGTTCAGTCGCCAGGAACTTACATGAAAAGTAGGTTGTGCTTTTCACACAGATACAGGCAGTTTAAAGGAAGAGCGAGGTTTACGGAGAATGTACTAGTATCTCTAAGGTCAACTGGTGTCTTTGAAACAGTTAAAGCTCGGTGACTTGAGGCTACAGAAGGATTTGCTGGACAGAATAGAATTCCCTACAGTCGTGAGATAAATGATGTGCAGTTGTGCTGTTTTTTGCTGGTGAATAGAGAAAAAAGATAGAAAGAATAAGACTCTTCAAGATTGTTTCAAATGAAATTGGTATATTGCTAGAAAGTTCTCAGTTGTGTGGGGGGGTGGGGGGTGGGATAGGCGATGCTACTTTGTAGGGAAGTGGTAGTGTTTGCTTCCAAAACAGTTCTGAGTCCAGGAGTTGAGAAAATAATTGTAAGGGTTTCAGCAAGGAAAACCTTTAAATATAAACCTGTGAGATTTAGATTGTGATAAGATTTCCCTATTAAACGTTGATAGGGATTGGAGCATCCCAGAATCCACTGCGAGTAGAATTTCATAAGGTTACACCCAGAGGGGAGCTGAGAAATCATCATCATTCTCTCCCATTCGAGATGAGGAAACTGCGTGGCAGAAAGAAGTGGGTGCCTGAGCCACCCCGCGGGGTGCGGCCTTGCGCCCACAGTGGCACCTGACCGGCAGGCCGCTCGGCCTGGGCTCTGTCCTGTCTTAAGCTGCTCAGGCTGGTGGAGGGTCTTCCCTGAAGCCTGAAGGGAGGAGGCTGTCCTGGAAGGCGTCCCGGTGCTTGCTTCACGGGTGAGAGGAGAGGCTCCAAGTGTTGTACCCTCAGTCCCTAGAGAGCTGAGCTGTAAATACTGTACAATGACAGCTTAGCCCAGGCGATGTGGCTCAGGGGTTGAGCATTGAACTGTGGAGGTCAGGGTTCGATTCCCAGTCGGGGCACATGCCCGGGTTGCATGCTGGATCCCAGCGCGGGGCCTACAGGAGGCAGCCGATCAGTGATTCTCATCATTGATGTTTCTCTCTCTCTCCTGTCTCTCTGAAGTCAATAAGAATATACGTATTTTAAAGATGACAGCTTAGAACCAGGTGGAGTCTCCGTGCTGTTCCTGTTGTCAGTCGATTAAGTCTGAGTGCGTTTCAAATGCTTGTCAATAGGAAGGGTTTCCCATTGGCCTCGGACAGCATGTGTGGGCAGCAGTGGTGAGTTAAGAGTCAGGGCTGGTTTTCAGGCAGGGACGGGAACTTGTATTTGTAAATTGCTTTACTTAAAATACACTCACGGTATTTCCTTTTATCGAGTATTAGAAAGATTACCAAGAACATTGCATGTCTGCAAAAATGTGGCTGAAACCCCAGAGCTGCGGCCATTTCTCCCGTGTTCACGTTTCCCTGTGATCGTGAAACGTGGTCTGCTGTGAGGGAGAGGGACTGACTCACAGAACGGGCGTCCTAAAGAGACAACTTGGATTTTTGTCTGAAAAATACAAGTCAGCTGTTCAAGATTATACTTAGTGTATCTCATTAAAAACAAGCGACGGAAAACACTGTCTAGAGGATTTTGTCGCTTTGTTTTCTGTGAGCGTTTGTTGACACTCTGCCTGTTATGGAAAAGGTTTGAATCCTGTCACTTGGTCGCTTAGGTGGGGTGCAGGCCTTCTGCTGAGTCCAGGTCTCCCCTGAAGGTTTGCTTTGCAGCTGGTGCTGCTGTACTCGCTAACGCTCTTTCATGGGAGGGGGTGGGAGCCCGTGTGAAGCTCTGGCTTTCCTTCGAGACTTGAGGTAGCCTGTATGGCAGGGTGGTGCGCAGTGTGGTCGAGGGGCTGACTCGGGGCCTGGGGACAGGCTCCAGGAAAGGTGGCCGCCCCTGGGGCGTAGCTCAGCCTGATGAGGGCATCACGGAGGCAGCGCCATCTGTGGGTCCTTAGTTGTGTTACAGACTGAGTCCCAGGAGAGGACAGTGACTCGCTGAGGTCACTCAGCAGGTCGGGCACGGCCGCATCTGCTCCGTCCAGGGTTCTCCCCTCGGAGCAGGCGCAGTTCCGGACGGGAGCGGAGGTGGGAGAGACGCGCCCCTCAGGACTTAGTGACAGGAAGTCACTGTCCCTCACCTTCTTTGTTCTTAGTTTTCCGGATTGCAGCCAGGGCTTTGGATATGTGAACTTTATGCCAATTTTTCTTTTTCTTTTTCAGTTCAAATTAAGGATAACCTACATCCTGCTTCTCTCTGAAAGTGGCATCTGATCGTGCAGGAGCTCCGCCATGCAGCCGCCGCCGCAGGCGGTCCCTCCAGCGTGGTGGGGCCCCTCCCGCGGGGAGCCCTCCAAGCATGTTCTGGTCCGGCAGTTCATACAGGAGACAGGCGGCGGCGAGTGCACCGGGGGCTGCGGTAACTGGCCCCCTGCAGCCTGTAACGGACCCATTTGCTTTCAGTAGACAGGCGCTTCAGAGCACCTCGCTGGGCAGTTCGTCCAAAAGCAGCCCTCCCGTGCTGCTGGGCTCGGCCCCACCAGCGTTTCTTCAGCACCCGGGACTGCCTGTGCCTCACACGAATGCTGGGGACAGCTCCCAAGGATTCCACGCGCCTCTGCCGAGACCTCTGTCGCAGCCCCGGCCAGCGGCAAGCCCGTTTTCCAGTGTGTTGACCCCTTCGGCACCTGCTGGGCCTGAGCTGAACAGGAGCGCCCAGGCCACTTCCAGCTCTGAACACGAAACCCAGGCTCAGTACATTCCAGGAGGGGGTTCCAGCACTTCTCATGGCGGCCCCCCACATGGGCACCTGCCTGGGCCTGACAGGCCCCCGAGTGGACAGAACCCTCACGATGGCGCTGCAGCACCCACCGCATCCCCTTTCTTCCCGCAGCTGCGTCCGCAGATGCCAGGGCAGATGCCAGGGCAGTGGGGGCCGGCCCAGGGCGGCCCGCAGCCCTCTGGGCATTATTGGCCCCGCCCAGAAGGCCCTGTTGCCAATGCTACACCGCAGGCCTCCAGCGTCTCCCGCATCCCCGCTCTGTCCAGCCCGCCTCAGGGGCCTGCCCACGAGCAGCACCAGCCTCCCGCCCCAGGACCTTCGGTCGACGGGAAAGACGGGGCAGCCTCCCTGCAAAGTGGAAACCACTCAGCGAGTCCCTTTGATCTCGAGAACACGTTCAGGCAGAGCGTCCGAGGGGGGAGCGCCGGGGTCGGCCAGGAGGTCAGGCCGAGTCCCGCAGTTAGTCAAGGGCAGGGGCCAAACCCTGCTCTCGGGAACCCCTCTGCTCAGGGCAGCAGCCTGGAAAGCCATTCGCATTGCCCTCTGGGGGCCGCCAGCCACGCCCTGCCAGAAGCAGACTCGGGCACGCTCTCCCTGTTCTTCCGAGGCGGAGAGATGGAGAATGAGGAGACCATTTCCTCTGAAAACACAGGCTCCGCGGCTCAGTCTTACTTTGACGGTTTCTCCCCCAGCCCTGTTCTGGGCCCTCCTCCGGCACACGCGGGCGCAGGCGGCGTCTACCAGGCCTTTCTCAGAGCCTCCCGCAGCGAGACCGCACAGCAGGGAGGAGACACGCAACCTTACTTTCCTCAGCCTGCAGGCACCCAGCTCCATCAACCGGCCGCTGAGAATGCTGCTGCTGACGTGTGGGGTGACACGGCAGGCGCAGGGACTCATGACTCTGGCGGCTCACACTGTGAGAATGTGGAGAACTTGGAGTTCACTCAGAACCAGGAGGTTCTGCCCAGTGAGCCCCCAAATTTGGATGCCTCCTCCCCAGGCGATCACCCCAGATATGCACCTCTTCCCGGGCCCCCGGGCCCCAGGCTCAGTGTCACAGGCCACGCGGCAGGCGGGGGCTCAAACCTCGAGGCCCTGGACGCGCCGCTGCACCCCGTGCGGTCTGATAGCGTGTCGTCTAGTTACAGCAGCAAGAGCCACAGGAGTGCGTCCAGCACAGCCAGGCCCCAGGACCTGGGCACCTTCATCCAGCAGGAAGTCGGCAAGCCCGAGGAGGAGGCTCCCGGGAGCTTCTTTAAGCAAATCGACTCTTCTCCTGTGGGAGGCGAGACGGATGTGACCACCATGAGCCAGAATTACCACCACAGCCTGTCCCAGCCCTTGACCCCCAGCCCCCCCAAACCTACAGGGGTCTTTCAGACGAGTGCAAATAGTTCTTTTGAACCAGTGAGATCCCACTTAGTTGGAGTCAAACCAATTGAGGCAGATCGTGCCAACGTGGTGGGTGAGGTGAGGGGGAGCCATGCCCACCAGAAGCACAGACCAGCCGCTGCACCGCCCGACGCCTGCCCTGGCAACCTGGAGCAGCCACCAGACAACATGGAGACCCTCCTGCCACCTCAGGTCTGCCCTCTGCCTCTTCCCTCACCCGCAGAAGCCAGTCACCGGCTCCCGCACCCTGGAGGGCCGCCCATGGAGACTGTGCCTGTGACACCGGAGAAGAGGCCCTCGACCCGGGCCCAGGGAGCCATGAAGTGTGAGAGCCCAGCAACGACTCTGTGGGCGCAGAATGAGCTGCCAGACTTTGGGGGCAACGTCCTGCTGGCCCCTGCCGCTCCTGCACTTCCCGTGCCGGGGAAACCTCAGCCGTCCCAAGTGGTTCAACCTCCAGACCAGGGGGTGTCCCCTCTGCCAGGCGGGGAGGGCATTGGTGCTTCTGAGAACCTCGAGAACCCTCCCAAGATGGGGGAAGAGGAGGCCCTTCTGTCACAGGCAAGTTCTGGTTATGCCAGTCTGTTGTCCTCACCGCCCACTGAATCTTTGCACAGCCAACCAGTCTTGATCGCTCAGCCCGATCAGAGCGCTCACCTGGCTCAGCCCCTTCATTTTCCCGTGTCCTTGTCCCACCCCACGGAGAAGACTCCGTCCTGGAGAGATGCTCGGGTTGGGGACAGATCTGCCGGGAGCAGCCGGGCCGCGGGGGCTGATGCTGGAGAAGCCGCGCCTCTGCCTGGTGTTCCAGCCAGCGCTCTCACCTGCTCGCCTCTGTCTCACTGCCTTGCCCAGAGTAACTTCCCACACGTTTCTGCTCTTTCTGAAACGGTTTCCACTCCACCTGCTAATTTGCTGGTTCAGCCACCGTCTCATCCAGCTCCAAAGAACTTGCTTCCAGGTCAGAAGAGTCCCAGTGCCGAGAGCGCGCTGCCGGAGTTGGTTAGTAGCCCTGCCGGGAGCACAGGCCTCCTGCTGGTGGCGCCCGCAAGCGACGCCTTGGGGCCTCACAGTAATAATGCAGACCCCCCCAGGAATCGGGAAGAGACTTGGGGAGCCCTAGACTTCACGCTGAATGGGACCGTGGAGAAGCTTGTGAGAATGGATAGCCTGTCCCATGCCGATGGCCCCGCTGCTGCTCAGCACCCCACCCCCAGTCATCCCAGCCAGCCTGGGCCTGGGGCACGTAACCCAGACCATTTCTACCAACAGGTGACAAAAGGTGCTCCCAACCAGCGTGGCCCCGAGAGAGCCCAGCAGGAGCCAGCTCCTCCCCCACCAGGGCCCACAGCAGCGCCTTTTGAACCCTCAAACCCAGAAAGTCCACCAGCACCAGGGCAGCCCCAGAACTCGGCCCAGCCACCTGCAAGTACGGCTCCCGCTGACCTGGGTCAGCAGCCGCCACCTCGGCCCCCTCAGTCCTCCAGCGCATCGGCCGTGTCCAGCAGCTCGAGCCAGGCAGCCGTGCCGCCGGGCCAGCAGTGGATGCCGCCGCAGCCCCTGGACTTGGCGTCCTACTACTATTACAGACCCCCGTACGACGGCTACCCGGCCCAGTACCCCTCTCCATATCCACCAGACCCGGGCACAGCCCCGCTCTACCAGGTAGGCTGAGCTCAGACGGTTGAACCCTTTGACCAGCGGTCTTTCCTTGCGAGCTCCTTGGCAGGGTTCTGTGGGTTCAGAAGTGACGGGTGGGCACTGGGCGTGAGAACAGTGCTCCAGCCACCACTGCTCTGCCACGCGGCGCGTCTCATGAAGTCCACACGACGTGTTCGTGCGTTGAATTGCGGAGATAATCTCAATCCTTGTGTAACGCAGCACCCCCACTGGTGGGACAGGAAAGCCCTTTGCTTGTTGGCGCCTGTTGGCTGTCCTAGTCCCGCTCGGAGTCAGGCTGGGTCACAGGAGAGCCGCCTGGAGCTGGTGTGTGGTGGTGACATCAGAAACCTCCCTACGAACAGCAGGAAACTAGTCTTTAGTGCCTCCGTCAGAAGAACGTAGTTAGGGGGAAGTTAGCTCTGGCCTGTAACCCAAGTGAAGCCACGAGGAGGGTGAGAGTCCACCAGCTCCTCCCAGGCCTGGGGAGGCGGCACACAGGGCCTCACAGCGACGGTGCGGCAGCTCCCAGTGTGGTTGCCTCAGGTTCTGTTGAGTCCTGCCTTCGCTGGAAAAGGGGGTTCCAGGTGGACACGTTTCCTTATTACCTGGCTTTCCTCACCTCTAGTCCAGGCCCAGGGTCCTTCAAGGTCAGCCAAGGCGCGGGAGGGTGGGCCAGGGAGGCTGAAAGCACGGACTCGCCACAGGCAGGGCAGGGGCAAGGGCTGGTGGCCGAGCTGGGGACCTTGTGTTCAAAGAGGTTGGGTCAGGGATGGGCCAGGTCGGCTGATGGGAGACCTGTGCCCTGTTGTGGGCCCTCAGCATGTGTGTGTGTGAGTGAGTGGTTGGCTGCACCTCTGACCACTGACACCTGCAAGTGTAGGTTCCCAAGGACTTGACTCCCATAGCAGGGAGCTGAGCTCTGCTGGGAGCCCGGGAGGCCCAGGGAGCACCACGCCCGCTCCAGGTCCTTGGTGAGCGCTGCGCAGCGCCCCGGAGTTTGGCCCGGCGGCACCACTCCCGTGGAAGCTGGCGCCCCCCGCCTGTCTCTCTGCCACCCTAGCCTCCAGCACCAGCCAAGGAGTGTGTGCCAGGTAGTGGCGGAGAGTCGGGCTCTCAGGCACGGACTGATTCTGCTTCAGGTCCTCACATGGCCGCCCCTTAGAGGCGGAGCCGTGGCGATCAGTGATTTGTAAGAGGCTGTATGCCTCTAAGAACCAAGTACCCTCCCTCTGGGCTGCCTGTAGCTTCAGGACCAGGCAGATGGAGCCCTGGTTCCTTGGTTTGCTTACCTGGGATGGTGTCCGGGGCAGGGCACAGCTTGAGTCCCGGCACCTCCGCGTTTGAGACCTCAGGAGGCAGAAGCCTAACAGCCCTCACGAGTTGCCATGGCTCCGGGGTGCCTGCTGCGTGCTGGCCTCCCCTGAGCAGGCCGGGCTGGGGCTGGAGGGCAGCGCTGCCTGCCTGGGGCCGTCATCCTGGAGGTTTTCTGTTTCGCTCGGGGGAAGTCCCGTGTCCCGCGCCCCTGGGAGAGCCATCCGTGCAGCCTAGAGCTGGTGCCTGCTCCTGGGGGCTTGATGCTGCATAAACCTGTCTTCCCACAGGATGTCTACGGCCTATACGATCCCAGGTACAGGCCCTACGATGGCGCAGCGTCCACCTACGCTGAGAACTACCGCTACCCCGAGCCAGAGCGGCCCAGCTCCCGGGCAAGCCACTGCTCAGACCGGCCGTCTGCCAGGTGATGTTTGTGTTGCTGGCTGTAGTGATGTCCTGATGTGGAGAGACTGTGTGAGGAGTGTCCACCCTGCTGGTTGCCGTTTTGTCCATGTGGACAGGCTGCAAGATGCGTGTTTACATGGAGGTCAGCACACCCCATGCAGCCATGGCTACGCGTCAGCCAGACCCAGGGCGGGGCCCCGGAGGCCCACTGTCCTCGGGCAGGGTTCCCCCAGCCCAGGCGGCGGTCATCGCTGGGGCGCGTGCGCCCTGGAGGCTCGCTGACGGAATGCTCAGGGTCCTAGACTGGCAGCTTTACCTTGCGGACCGGTCCCCCCGCAGGCCAGAGTCCACGGTGCTGATGCCAGGCAGGCCTGGGCCTCGGTGCTTTCCCAGCAGCCTCTGTGCCGGCGCTCCGGCCGGCTTCTCTCGCAGGCGGACCCTGGCTGGATTTTGCGATTACAAACAAGCATGTTGAAAGAGCCCCGGGCCGCACCTCCAGCCGCGTGAGAACTGGAGCTCAGAGGCCTCCGCTCGGTGGCTGGGGGGCGGGACGAGGGAGGTGGCTGTCAGGGTTCCAGCTCTGCCGCCTCCCAAAGCCTTCACAGCTGTCGGTGCTACGAGGGCACGTGGTTCCTTAAACGTGGGACAGAGAGGTGTGGCCGCCGGGGCAGGCTTGGTTCACGCACTGCCTTTCAGAACCGTGGGCTCCTTACGCGGGCCCCTCGGCGTCTGGTAGCTGGTCTGTGAGTCTGTGCCATCAGCTGGCCTCTGTCCAGGCCCGCAGAGGGCGCACTGACCTGCGTGTGGCCCAGCGGGCCAGGTGCTCATGTCCTAGCGCCTGGGGACCACCCTGCCGCCTGGGCAGCGTTCTGACTCGGCGAGAGCTGTGGGCCGGTGTTTTCTAGAACCTCTGGAGGCCAGGGGTCGGGAGGCGGGTGGAGCCAGGGTGCATCTGGCTGTTCCGGTTTCCCTTCACTCGCCCACCTGCAGATTCATGTGGCGACATTTCAGAGGCCAGAGCTGCTCGGCGTGGAGAGGCGCCCAACAAGGCGGGCGGTGACGTGGGAGGCGTGTCCCCGTCTGCCACGTCCGCACCACTCTGGCAGCGCTGGGGAGCAGCCTCCTCGGCCCTGCTGTGGTTGGGGTGCGTGCGTGTTCCCACGTGGTGTGTCGCATCAGTTCGTCTTCGTTGTGCCACTGGGATCACATCCCTGTGGGCGCTGCTCGAGGTGACGTGGGCCTGTTGTTTCTGTGATTGTCTTTCCCACGAATGCGGGGTTTGTGGGGGCGAGGAGGTGTGTGTTCCTGGTTTTGTGCTGCATCGGGTCATTTTTCGGAGACCCCCCCCCCCATGCGTGGACGGGTGCTCTCACCCTGGGGCAGTGAGCGCGGGTGCTGGGCTGAGGCCCTGCACTCCTTCCCCAGGGCTGCACCCACCAAGCCCCAGGCTCAGCTGAGTGAGACACGAGCGAAGTCTGTTTTAAAAATCAAGTATTACAGCCCTTGCTGGTGTTGCTCAGTGGGTAGAACCCAGCCTGGGGGCTGAAGGGTCCCGGGTTCAGTTCCGGTCAAGGGCACAAGCCCGGGTTGCAGGCTCAATCCCAGTAGAGGGCGAGCAAGAGGCAGCCAATCAGTGATTCTCTCATTGATGTTTCTCTCTCCCCCTCTCCCTTCCTCTCGGAAATCAATAAAAATATATTTCTTTAAAAAAATGAAGTATTACCTAAAACTTGCTGTTAAAGAACAAAAATGTCATTAAGCCCTTTCAGCAGGTCAGATACCTGATCTTCCTGCTAAATTCCACCCTTTCTGTAATGCAGGTCACAGCCAGGCTTGCTCTGTGAGGCCAGCCCGGCCGGTGCAGGCAGGGCCCACGCTGGTCTGCTCTGAGGGCACCAGGCTGGGCGCACTGGGACCCGCCCGGAGGACACGGGCATGGTCTGTGCGGCGGGTCTGGAAGTCGGATCCGACTCCCCTCCACACCCCGGCACCTTGGCATCGGCTGAGTCTGACATCCACACTCGAGAGCCTGTCCCGGCCCTGCTCCGGCGACGGCACTGCGAACGCCACGATCTGTGCTGGGCGCTCGTGTGGTGGTTACCATAGAGGCACTTCGGCGCGCTGGGCGCAGGGAACCCCTTACGCTCCTGGCTCTGGGTCTTCTGATTAGGACTCCACGACCAAGGGCTGGGACGAGTGCCTGTCGCCCTGGGCGCAGTCTGTAGGCCGATACTGTCTCGCTTTTCAGAAGTAGGTGGCTTGTTGGTAATCCCTGTGTGGTTTCAGGCAGGGGCCTCCTGAGGGCTACTACAGTTCCAAGCGTGGATGGAGCAGCCAGAGCGATTACGCCAACTACTACTGCGGCCAGTACGACTACGGAGGTACGTCAGACTGGGACACGCCCCGCGGGCCTTAGGCGGAGTCCCCCGTTAGGCTCTGTCTTCATCCCAGAGCCACGGTCACCTGCTTCTGGAAGTGATCCTGTTGCTGCTTTTCATCCAGAAGCTGCATCGTGGTCACAGCACGCGTGTCTGGCTCACACGAGCAGTTCTCTGATTTCCTAGAACAGTTGCCAGGGGCCCGGGGCTGCCTTTCCTGTCCCTGCGACCGTTCACATTGATCAGAGGAACATGAGCCGCTCCTGAACTAGTGTGTCTGCCCTGCTCTGTGGCCGCGGGGCTGTGGCTCTGGCACTGGAGGTGCAGGAGTGTCCCCTTGCTGTCGGGCGGGCGGGCGGGGCGGTGCCTCTTGGCCACATGTCCCTGAGCCCTGCTCCTCCCTCTGCCAAGCTGTGTCCTGCTCGGTGCAGAGGGTCCAGGCCGGCAGCCCTCGCTTACCCAACACGGCCCTCCCGCCCCGCCCCGCCCCACTCACAGGCCTCTGCCTCCCTTCCACATAGCACACTGGCCAGAGGGCACGTCTGGGGGCTCGGCTGGGACTGGCCCTTTGGTTCTAGGATTTCCTCACCCTTCCTAGGCCACATCAGAAGAGATGGGAGTAAAGCGTATAGTTACGGGATGAACTGTTCAAAAGTAGTAACTATGGGCAAGAACTTAACCAAGATGTCACGTAGCAGGTTTCTCTTCTTAATCGTGTATTGGGAGGAAAAGCCAGCGGCCACTGGGTGTCACACGGGGAGAGGACTCTGCGAGACCTCCGGCTTCTCAGCACCCAGGGTCATGCCTCTCGGGAGGACGGCGAGGCTCCTCGGTGCTGGGGGCGCAGCGTCTCCCGCGCGTGTTGTATCAGCTCGTTAATCCCTTGCTTGCAGATCCGGGCCGCTGGGATCGGTACTCCTATGGGTCTGGGTTCAGGGATCCCCGCCCCTATGACCGCAGGTATTGGTATGACGCGGAATACGAGCCGTACAGGAAAGACAGCTACGCCTATGCTGACAGGTGGGTGAGACACCCTTTGCCGAGGGGGACAGGAATCAGCTGTGCTTTGTAACGCCCCACCAGCTGCGGCTGGGGGTCCCGGGAGCTGCTGGTGTCACGGCCACTGTCTGAAAGGGGCGGGCAGACTGGGCCGCTGGCGTCGCTCACTGTGGGCGCAGCACAAGCGCCTGGGACCGGCTTGCCCTTGTCTCCTCGGTGGCTGTGACCTTGCAGCCTGCTCCCCTGACCCTTCACCCGGGACTGACCTTGGCCCTGGGTTCCAGGCATCCCCTCAGGGGCGGGCTCGTACCGTGTCCTGCGAGGCAGGCCCCGTCATGATGTGAGGGCAGCGGGCGCTGAGGACCCGTAGGGCTTGAGTGTTGAGCAGCAGTGCGTCATGCCAGCGGCCTCAGTGCCCTCTCTTGCCTCTGCCCCACTGGCCCTCCAGGCCCGAGAGGTACGACGACCCCTGGAGGTACGACCCTCGCTTCACAGGGAGTTTTGACGACGACCCTGAGCCCCACAGGGACCCCTACGGGGACGACGTGGACCGGCGCAGCGTGCACAGCGAGCACTCGGGGCAGAGCCTGCGCAGCGCGCCCAGCGTGCACAGCCGCCACAGCAGCTTCAGCGCCCACTCGCAGCAGGTGCGCGCGGGCCCACGGGGGGCGGCAGGCAGGCTGTCCACGGCTCTGTGTGGGCCCAGGTCCCCCTGCTCCGGCAGCACCTCCAGTCTGGCTGGCGCTCCTGCGAGCTAACTGCCTGCCGGCTTTGTGTTCCCGAAGAGTCAGGTTTACAGAAGCTGCAATGTGGCCGTGGGGCCCTATGAGGCGCCGCCGCCGCCAGGCTCCTTCCACGGGGACTATGCCTACGACGCCTACATGAGCAATTTCAGCAGCGCCCAGGGCTTCCCAGAGTACGGCTACCCTGCCGACGCCGGCTGGCCCGCCGTGGAGCAAGGTGTGTGTGGTCAAGGCCCTGGGTGCCCTCAGGTGCGGGGGCGCCGAGTCACCCCTCGGTCGCTTCACAAGCCTGGGGCGAGAAACGGGAGTGAGTTGCAACTGAGGGCATTTGTGATGGCCTGGCCCGGTCCTCCCCGGAGTAGGGACAGCTGTGTCACAGCACGCCCGTCCTGAGGGCCAGGCTGGTCCCGCTGGGCTGGCAGCACCCTCGGCTGTAGCTGGACTCACAGGCCGGAGAGCTGCCCTGCCTCTGTCACGGGCACTCGTGTGACTCCGTGTGGCTCACCGCCAGGCGCTCGGGCGGGGCCTCCTGTTCCCATGCCGACCACGCGGGGCAGCAGCCTGTGGAGGGAACTCCGGTTCCCCTAGAAAAGCTGCCCTCGGCTCTCCCACTGCCACGCTCAGGCCCGGGGAGGTCTGTTCATGCTGAGTCTGGGAAACTGTGAAAGTATGTGACGTTCTGGAGACAGTGTTTCAGTTGCAGTCCTCACCCGAGGACACGCTTAGAGAGAGAACGGGAGAGAGACACAGCGAGGGGAGAGGAACAGCAGTGGCATCCGTTGGTCGCCGCCCTCTCCCCCGCCCCCCGCATACGCCCCTCCTGGGGACCAAACCCGAAAATGCCAGGGGCTTGAACCCGTGACCTTTCAGTGCACAGGACGTGCTGGACCTGAGCCGCCAGGCTGGGCAGCGGCCCTCCTCGCCTTCACTGGGTGCGGTCACGGCCCCGCTGTTGAGGACGAAGGCTCAGGCACGAAGGGTCCCGGGTGCTGCTTCCTGTGACAGGCGCTTCGGGCGGTGACAGGCGCTTCGGGCGGTGTTCCAGAGCTTTTAGATTTCGAGGAGATGGTTTCGTTTCTAAGGATTTAGACATTTCCTAAGCCGCGCTGGAGTTCTACTTTAACGGGGCCCTTAGCCACTAGTGACTTCCAGCTGAAAGTCAGTTCATGTGGGGCCTCAGCCTGTGGGCACCTTGACATCGAGCTGTGGTCTGGCCCCGAGGACCCAGAGCTGACCCCCCGGCTGTGTCCTGTTCACGTCCTCCCTGCAGCTCCGTCGAGACCCACTTCCCCGGAGAAGTTCTCCGTGCCTCATGTCTGTGCCCGGTTTGGTCCTGGGGGTCAGCTCATCCGCGTGATCCCCAACCTGCCCTCGGAGGGACAGCCGGCCTTGGTGGAAGTGCACAGCATGGAGGTGAGCCGGGGCGGCTGCGGGCCCACAGGCCGTGCCTCAGCCTTGTCTGAAAACGGTCGTGCCGAGTGTTTCCTCCGTGGACCCTCGGTGGAGGGGGTTTTATTTGTTCTGTGTGGTTGTGCGTCTTTTATCTTCGTTTGCGTTTCTGATTTTGAGGGGAGGGCCTGTTGGTGTTCAGTACTGGTGATTCAGTGACGAGTAGGGAGGTGGCCAGTGGGGGTTGGGGTGCCCCGGGGGCCCGTGTGGTGGGCACTGTTTTGTGGCCCACCAGCCTCTGTCACATGTATTGGCTCAGAGTTCAGGGGGAATGGGTCTCACCGCTTTAAAGGGTGAAAGTCACTGTTGCCAACCAGACACGGCCAAGCCCCTGGTGGAGCGCCTCGGCCTCCCCGATGGGTCAGACCGTCCTCGGGTCAGCAGACACAGGGGGCAGTGGCGGAGCCTGCCCTGAGCTGCCCCTCCCTGTCCCCCCTGTCCCCCTGTCCCTCCCTGTCCACAGACGCTGCTACAGCACCTGCCGGAGCAGGAGGAGATGCGTGCCTTCCCGGGACCGCTGGGCAAGTAGGTCCCGCCGGGCACGGGCAGCTGTGGGCACCGCGCTGAGTGTGGCTGGGCCGCGGCGCTCATCGCTGTCCACTGAGGGCTGTCCTCCTTTCAGAGACGACACCCACAAGGTGGACGTTATTAACTTTGCGCAGAGCAAAGCCACCCAGTGTTTGCAGAATGAGAGCTTAATTGACAAAGAGTCCGCAAATCTCCTCTGGAACTTTATCATCCTGTTGTGCAGACAGAACGGGGTACGTGTCGTCTTACCTTTAAAACGCCTCTTCTTGGCCTGGAGTCTCAGGGATCCTGTCCCCCACGGTGTGGGGAGGATTTCTGTGCTGGGCCGAGCACGCGGAGCCGTCTCAGCAGTGTCGTGGGGAAGGGGAGACAAGCGGGGGTGCAGCTGGGGCGAGGGCGGGTTCGGGCCCACCATGTTGGTCTCTCGGGCTCCTGGGCGTGTGGGGGGCGGCGTGCACTGGGCGGCCTGTTGGCGGCCTCCCCCAGCGGGGCCTGTGGGAAGTCCTATCCATAGTGAAGGCCCTTGTTCTTTCTGTCCCCGCCGCCCTGCAGACCGTGGTGGGCACAGACATTGCCGAGCTGTTGTTACAAGACCACAGGACGGTGTGGCTTCCTGGGAAGTCACCCAACGAGGCCAACCTGATCGACTTCACCAACGAGGCCGTGGGTCAGGCTGAGGAGGAGGAGGAGTCGGTGGAGGCCCAGCTCTCCTTCCTCACCGACAGCCAGGCCGCCACCAGCTCTCTGGAGAAGGAGACGGAGCGGTTCCGGGAGCTGCTGCTCTATGGCCGCAAGAAGGCGAGTTCCGAGCTCTCGGGCGCCGGGGCGTGTCCTGGCATCCGCCGCGTGGGCTTAAGTGCCAGGAAGCAGTGGGAGGGACAGGCCTGCCTGGAGAGCACCGGGCCTTGACGGCCACCCCGTGAACAGGTGTCTGGCCCTGTCATCTCTGAAGGTGTCAGCACCGTCTCCTCACACGTTGCCAGCGTTGAAGTCTCAGTTTCCCTCCTCATTCCCGCTCAAGTGCACGCAGTCGCGCTCGGGCTGTGCCCGCCCATGCAGTGCTGTCGGGTGAACACGTGCACGAGACAGACATACAGCCCGTTGTCACAGTTAGGGGTGCGCTCGGCCTCTGAGGTGTGCGGGGTGTGGGGGAGCGGTGCCCAGCGGGAATGGATCAGGTGCGGCGCGTGCAGAGGCTGCGGGCTGCGGAGAGTGGCAGAGGCCTCGCACAGGTGCTGGCGCTGTGGAAGTTCTCTGGTTGTGCCGAGTGGAGGGCGGGTCTAGGGTAGAGGGGTCCCTGTGGGCTGTGGGCACATGCCCAGCTCTGCATGGCCCGGCGGCAGGGGTCTGACAGCCCCAAGTCCTTGGTGCTTGTATGTCGTGATAAGCTCAGGTCACGGTCAGAAGTTCTCTGAAATACTAGGTCACTTGGCTAAGGGGACGCGCTGGGATGACGCGCACAGTGGCCCGGTGGGAAGGACCTTTGAGGGTGGCAGCGCTGCCTCCCGGTGTCCTGTGTCTACTGGCCTGCTTGTTCTAGTTATTAAAAATAAGTTTTTAACGTATTGATGTTGCGGAGAGGAGAGAAGCAGGACCTTGACCTGTTGTTCCCCTTGTTCATGTGCCCTGACCTTGGTGCGTCAGGACGGCGCTCTAACCACCGAGCCGCCTGGCCAGGGCTGCTTGTAACAGTTTGTAAAAGCAGGACCCACGGCCACAGGCACGGGGCGGGGGGGGGGGTGAGGGCAGTGGCCCAGGTGTGTTCTGGGGGCCATGGAGGCAAGTGTGTCACCGCAGTCGAGCCCTTTCCTCTTTCCCGGCCACGCGGACGACACGCTCCCCGGCGCCTCACTCGCATCACGTGAAGTCACTGCCCCTCGGCTCACTGCGCTGCTTTGCAGGATGCTTTGGAGGGCCGCGATGAAGAACGGCCTGTGGGGTCACGCTCTGCTGCTCGCCAGCAAGATGGACAGCCGGACACACGCCAGAGTCATGACCAGGTACAGACTCGCTGAGCTGGCGGCTTCTGGGCGCAGCCGGCTGGTCCGGCGGCCGAGCCTTGGCAGCTCTTCGAGGCACAGGGTCTAGCTCTCGGCAGAGAAAGCCGGGCCTCCCCTGCGCTGCGGGGCCGCGCCCTGGGCACTGCTCGGTGCTGAGCTCTGTCAGATCGCTGAGCGCCTTGTCTCTCTCTCGGGCCTTTAACACTGAGCTGCGTGCGCACTGAGGGGAGGGAGGCATCGGGCTGTTGGTTGAGGGGCTGAGACGGGGCCAGCCGTGTGGGGGAGCCGGGCCAGGTCAGCTTCCTCTCGTGGTGTCTCCCCAGATTCGCCAACAGTCTTCCCATCAACGACCCTCTGCAGACCGTCTACCAGCTGATGTCCGGGCGGATGCCTGCCGCGTCCACGGTCAGTGGCGCTCCCGTGGCTCTCGCGGCCCCGTGCGTGGGGACTGCTCCGGCGGTTTCATCTCGGGATGAGGCTGCCTTCCTTTCTGCCCTGCCCCTCCCTCCCAGAGCCCGACCCTGCAGGCTGGTGACACTCGGCCCGGGGTCACCCAGGGTAAGGAGTGTCCCGCTGGCTTTCTGTACCTAGTGCTGCGGCGATGAGAAGTGGGGAGACTGGAGGCCGCACCTCGCCATGGTTCTGTCCAACTTGAACAACAACATGGATGTGGAGTCCAGGACGATGGCCACGATGGGCGACACGCTAGGTGGGTCCGTGCAGACGGGAGGCCGTGGGCGTGGGGCACGGAGACTGCGCGCAGCGTGTCGGGTGGAAGGGACCGGACTCGCGCGCCTCTGGCATCGCTGCCGCTGGCTGTTCGCCATCTTTGGTTTCGGGAGAACCCCCGACCGAAACGTGGCCCCTGTGTCTCCTCAGCCTCGAAAGGCCTCTTGGACGCCGCGCACTTCTGCTACCTCATGGCCGAAGTTGGATTTGGGGTTTATACCAAGAAAACCACAAAACTCGTCTTAATTGGATCGAACCACAGGTGAGGAATTGCGTAACTGTGTGCCCCTCCCCACCCCGCCCTCCTGTTAACCCAGACGGAGCCGGGAGGTGGCCTTGTGGCCTGGCCGTGTGGCATGACGTGCTGCTGGGGGACTGGCTCAAATAAGTTCACTCCTTTCCTCAACAGTTTGCCATTTTCAAAGTTTGCGACCAATGAAGCCATCCAGAGGACAGAGGCCTATGAGTATGCGCAGTCGCTAGGCACGCAGTCCAGCCCCATGCCCAACTTCCAGGTGAGCCCCGCCCCACAGGCTGGGCACGCAGTCCGGCCCCATGCCCACCTTCCAGGTGAGCCCCGCCCACAGGCTGGGCACGCAGTCCGGCCCCATGCCCACCTTCCAGGTGAGCCCCGCCCATGGGCTGTGGGGTGGAAAATTCTCACGCAAAAGGCAGTGTTTTTGGAAATCTTGGGGCGACATTGATCGGTAACGTTTGAGAATAAACCCTGTTGAATTGAGGATTTTGTTTGTATTTTGGGTCTTAATATTTAAAATCTTATAAACCTCGAGTATTTTGTTTCTATCGGCTATTTTTAGTGTGATGAGGAGTGTGATCTGACCCAGGAGTGAGTGTGTGAGTGTCTGAGCGTGTGTGTGCGTGTGTGTGCAGCACTTGCGTGACCCTGAGCGAGGAGACTGGCTGTGGGACAGGCCGCGTGGGGCGGGGGCTGTGAGCGTGTGCTGAGCTGCGGCCTCTCTACTTGACCTGGCAGCTCTGAGGGCTGCAGAGGACTGTGCTTCCGAAGCTCGCAGTGTCCTGTGCTCTGAACTGTCTCCAGGAGCGAACGAGCTGCGGGGGGCGGGGCCGGGGGGGGGGGCGGCACCCAAATCGTCCAGGACAGTTCTCAGCTGCGGGGCTGTGGGGCGGCTGCAGACGGGAGGAGCCGCGGGGGCTGAGCTGGTGTGTGTGTTTGCTCCAGGTGTTCAAGTTCATCTACTCCTGCCGCCTGGCCGACATGGGGCTGGCCACGCAGGCCTTCCACTACTGCGAGGTCATCGCCAAGGGCATCCTGCTGCAGCCGCACAGGCACTCCCCCGTGCTCATCAGCCAGCTGGTCCAGGTGCGGTCCTGAGCCGCCCCGCAGCCTGGGGTCAGGGCGCCAGACTCGGGGGCAGAGGTCGGGATGAGTCACACACTGAGATGCTCTCGGGCAGCTGCTGGTGTCTGGCACGTTAGCACACGAGTCCGTCCGTCTCGCTCCCGTGCAGAGACTGCGCCGGGAGCTCCAAGGCCAGAGCAGAGGTCGGTCCCGCCGTTAGTGGAGCCTGCGGGTCCGACAGCCTGGGTTTGGGTCCTGCTGACCCACTGGGCCTGGTTTCCCCGCCCTGGGCACTGAGGCAGGTGACTGGCCTCAGAACTGTGGACCCTAGAGGGGATGGGCCAGCGCCCAGCCAGCGCCACAGCGTGTGTCCCCCTCCCGGAGAATGCGCTCAAGTGACACCCAGGAAGGTTTTGTTATGGAGGCTTCCGGACAGTGTGAGGCCAAGCTTGCCTCATCCGGTCCTGCCCACGGCCCCCAGCTCCCCCCACCCCCAGCCCACCTCCCCACCCGATCAGAGTACGTCTGTCTACGTCAGTTCCGCACTTGGCTTGGCCAAGTCCAGTCTGTCGTCAGGTGGCGGCGGCAGGAAGTTCAGCTCCGGGGCCTGGGCCCTGGGGACCCCATGCAGCCACCCCGAGGTCGGCTCCTGTGAGCGTGGCGTCCGGGCTCGCCCTGTGGCACCACTGAGTGGGAGGCCTGCCGCAGAGGCCGCCCGGCCCTGGGTGCGTCTGTTCCAGGTCGGAGCGGCTGTGAAGACACTGGCAGTAACGGGCCTGCCTTCGCGTGTGTCTCCAGGTCGCTTCCCAGTTACGCCTCTTCGACCCGCAGCTGAGAGAGAGGCCGGAGGAGGAGTCCTTTGTGGAGCCTGCCTGGCTGGTGCAGCTGCAGCGTGTGGAGAGGCAGGTCAAGGTGAGCGTGGTCCGGCGCGGCTGGCACTTCTCGTGCTGGTTTCCACCCGTGGTGTTGGGCGTGGACAGACAGGGAAGGCGTGCGGTGTGAGGGAGGGCCTCTCGGGATGAGGCGGGACGGCTCCCACAGCCTGGCTGCCAGCGAGGCCTGAGCCATTTGTCCACAGGAGGGCGCTGTGGTGTGGCGTCAGGACCCGGCCTTCCCCCAGCGCTGTGCCAGCACCCCCAGCTCCGAGGTGGGACAGTACGATGGGCCAGGACCCGAGCAGCCCTCGCACCCGGGCACCGAGAACCCGCTGCTGGCGCCACCTGCGCCCAGCCCCGAGCGCTCTGGCCAGGGCGTGTGGCTGCTGCCGTCAGGTGAGCCTGCGCGGGGGAAGGCCCTCGCCCCTTTCTCTCCAGACGGCAGCTTCCTGACGAGGAGAACCCAGGGGCGCTTGTTCCTCCTCCCCCCTCCTCCTCCTCCTCCCCTTCCCCACCTCTTCCTCCCCTCCCCACCTCTTCCTCCCCCTCCTTCCCTCCTCCTCCTCCCCTTCCCACCTCTTCCTTTCCCCCTCCTTCCTCCTCCCTCCTC